CTCTTGAGCTGCATAATCTCTTTCACCAAGAGATTTCATAACTACCTTCTTAATAACTCTATGAGGGTCAGTATTACTGTCGACATTTTGCACAATAGAATTGAATGCCTGTTTCAATATAGGTGATCTTGGCTCACCTTTAGCTGCATATTTTGTGAGATATTCAACACAAGCATAGTGATCAATAACAACTTGAATATCACAGTTAGCTCTCCATCCTTGGAGCTGAAGTTGTTGATGGTTATTTAATCTAGAGTCATTTCGTTTAGTCACAATCTTAGCTCGATAATGCTCATTATCACCTGAGGTATGAATTTTTTCAAATTCTAATTTTGTCTTGGGACAAATATCAAAAGGGAAGTGAAATCTACATTTCAACTCTGTTTCATTTGACTTCTTTCTAAGACAATAATTTGTACTACAACGAGTGTATCGTTGAACCATGTTTAATAGATCTACATAATCTGATTGTTTTTCATGTTCAGGAATGTTGTGATGACTTTTTTGACATGGATGAACCTCGGGTCTTATCCACATATCCTCATCTGGTGGATTAGGATTGACAGTTGATAATAACCAATCAACATACTGACATACTGTGTCAGCTGCTTTCTGACCAGCTTCAATATCCTGGTCCAGTTCAGTTGTGTCAGAGCAATCATTTTCATTTTTAAATTTTTGAGCTAAGAAACCTTTCAAAGCAGTTTGAGTAAGTTGACACAAGCCTGGGTCATTATGTAGTTTTGCAGTACCATTACAATGGATACTACCTCTACCTTGGTATTCATATCTAAACCAGTGCCATTTTGCACCAAGTGTATCATAAAGCCAGTGTTTTACAAACTTTTCTAGTCTCTATGTAAAGAACCAATCAACTATATGTGGATTGTTAATAACATTTTGTCTCCTTTCCTCACTAGTGGCATTACTAGTGTTTGCTCCAAAGAGAGCGTGTAATTCAGGCCAGTGCATATCTGCTGATGAGAAAGTAAAGAACAATGTTGGTGCTCCAACATTAGTTATCATAGCTTTCAGTTCCTTTCTTACTTTATTCCAGTAAGCATTAGTACCTGCAATATTGCCAATGTATCTGGACACTTTGGACATCAATAAAGTGGAGTTGTCACTTGCAGCCATCTCACGTAGCTCATCAATAGTGAGGTGTGCTTCACCTGGATTTTGTTTAATGAATATTCCACTTTGTTGTAGAATACGCTTTCTGTGAATCATATTAAATGCCCAGTATGAAAATCTAGGGTGGTTAGCAAAACGGTATACCCATTTACCATCAATAAATTCAGCAAATTTCAAAAGATGCTTAATTATTTCTTGAAGAGGAACATTCCTCAAGATACTTTGATTAGTGGGATCACCTTTCCCATCTGGAAATAATGTTGGAAAAGCCGCAGTGGCAAGATGTGATATCTGATATTCATTCAATGGTTCACTTTCAATAGTGGGCCATTGCATTGGTTTCTTTTGCAGAAAGCTGATTTCTAACTGCTTCTATTTCTTGTTCCTGCTGCTCACCAACAGGCAAGAAACTATTCATGTCTCTCGAGTTGTTATAAACTATATCTTCAGAAGGGTGTTCAGTAGGTGGACCTAAATCTGACATAACATCATCATTTGGGATTATTTCATTTTCAGTCTCAACTGTCATGAGATCTGCTGGAATGCCATTTTCAGGTAAAGAGTTTAATGCATGTTCATTAATTTGTAATTTGGCATAATGAGGATTATTTTGTACAATCCATAATAATGCATTATGTACTTTTTCTCTTCTCACAGCAACATCTCTAAATGAGTTATCTTTACCCTTGACTTTGACAATAATCACAGACAAATCTTTGGGATATCTTGGCAATGATGTTGCAAGTTCCTTAACATTTTGTGGCAAATTAACACAATGACCTGAGTAACCTCGTTGTCGGCCAGGCTTAATGTAAACTCTCATGATAGGAAGAGCACGAGCAATCAACACTTCCTCTACTTGCGTTAAATTTTGTAACTCGGTTGGGACTGGAGAAGGAATCATTGAATTTTCAAGTGAAAACTTTCTAGGAGATTTTGTGTCTCGACAACATCGAGAGCATATATAACAATCAGGTGATCTTGGTTTAGAGTTCGGTGGCCATGCTTCTTGACATATAGTTCATTGATTAATAAAGAATTCAATAGATTTATAAAATTTATTGATGTTATTTTTTGCCCAACTCTGTTCATGAATACTACCATCTTTTTCAATGTCAAATTTGTTTAAATAATCCTGCTGATTTATAATTTGAGTAGAAGCACACAGACATTTTCTCTTGTATTGATTAGCGCTGGCAAGTCTAGTTTGCTTTTCAATGCCAGTTTCCTGTGCTCGTTTTCTTTTTTCATAATTTCTAACATTTCCAAGTCTAGTTTGTTTCTCATTTTCAGTTTCTGAAGCTCGTTTTGCTTTTTGATACACCCTAGCATATTCAAGTCTAGTTTGTTTCTCAGTTTGAGTTTCTGTGACTTGTTTTGCTTTTTTGTACTTTCTAGCATTTTCCGGTCTACTTTGTTTCTGACTTTTGGTTTCCTCTGAACGTTTTTGTTTTACACACTCTTTTGCACTTTGGCTCAAAGCAAGTACACTTATTTGTGTTATATCAGAATTTAATTGAACAGTTACTCCTTTGAGTTCAAAGGGTGTTTCATTACCCGGAGGTACAGTATCCTGGAAATAAATTACCAGGTTTTCTATACTATCAACAGATGTTAATACGCATTTTCCAAAAGGGTGTGGGATCCCATATAAATCTCTTGAATGAGAATCAAATACTTTAAAGGTTCCTTCAGAAGTCTTCAAAATTGCAACAGTATTAGAACCAATAGTCAACATACAATGTTGATAATTTAAATGAGTTTATGCAAACAGATTATTAAGAGCATTATGTATCGAATAATAAGGTATAGTAGTATTTGTCATGAATAAGTCGCCAGCAAACGGGTCACCATATTGCATACAATAAATGCCATCAAAAACCGAAACCATTTCAGGCACGTCAGTCAAAAGCAAATAGCTTTTCTAAACAGAATTGCTTATAAATAAATAGAGGTTATTTCCAGCACATAATATGTCATTTAATACAGTTGAATCCCATTCATTTGCATTTGAGAGATGACTATATATTATCGCAGTCAAGGACATTGCCAAACATTGTTTGCCAGCATTTTCTCGAAACTTTTTTGTATTTCCTTTACTAAAATCAGCACATACTGTTTTAGTTGGATCAACCACATCAAATATTGTGGGTCCGGGATTTTCCTCAACATCATTTGCCATTCTCAACAACAATGGAACATATACAATGTAGCCTGAACATTGAGTGAATTTGTGTAGCAGTAGCACAATGACTTGCTGATTTTGTTTGTAGCAGTGGCACAATGGCTTGCTGATTTTGTGTAGCAGTGGCACAATGGCTTGCTGATTTAATTTTGTGGCAGTGGCACAATGGCTTGCCGATTTTGTTTGTAGCAGTGGCACAATGGCTTGCTGATTTATTTGTGTGGCAGTGGCACAATGGCTTGCCGATT